TATCCCATTGGGGTCATCAGGCCAATACCATGAGTCCTCATATCCTGGACTAACAGGTATCCTTAGTATTCTACTCACATCTTCCTCCTCAAATAAATCTGTCAAAATATGCGGGTCCCAGGTAGCAGTATGCTCATCTATTAAACCTACCACTTTAGCGTGCCTGAGCTCTACAGGCATATCAGTCTGCACCAAAGGGCTAGGACTATTAGGCAACCATGGGTGTCCCCAGATCAGTGTTGTTTTACCATCCCCTATCCTCCTGCGCACCCGTGCCACCACCATGTCATGAGCTGCCATAATACTTCTCCATGAGTGGCTCGGGCATCCTCCTACTTTGGCATCAATAAAAGTGGTATTATGATAGTACCTTGCCTTATAGACTTTTGCAACAAGTGTGTCTGGACTTTTGAGTAGGCGCCATGCCTGTTTTCCCAACATTGCTAAATTAAAATTCCTGAGATCTTTGAATCCCATTCCTCCATATTTCTTTGGGATGCTTAACTTATCCCAGGCTTTCCAGTGTATTCCTCCATTCATACCAGTGCCCCACCAATACTTGTTCATTGTTCTCTGGATTGATAAACATACTGAGTCCGGGATCAAAAAGACACTCATTGAAAAGGTAGGCATAGATTGTGCCACGCTTTTCAATAAAATCTCCTTTCCTGCCTGCGTCAGAAATTTCTTGTTCCATGAGCTTATTCTCTGTTTTATCTTATCCTCAATATATGAGAACACTGCCCTCTTGTTCCTCCTCACAAAAGATGGTAATCCCAGATATTTCCCAAAATTGGGTGCCTGGTCTACCTGTAAGCAAACCGCCACCTCCTCCCTATCCTCCACACTGGTATTTCTGCTAAAACAGACACTGGATTTGTGATAATTTACCTTCTGTACTGAGAGCTCCTCATATCGTCCTAGACACTGTTTAATTACTCCCGCCTCCTCCCCATCTGCTCTAAAAAATAATAGGCTATCATCTGCAAAAAATAGATGTGATATCTGGGGGGCTCCCCTAGCAACCCTGCAACCATGTATTGAGCCAGACATCTGCGCTCTTTGCAATAATACAGATAACCCTTCTGCACATATGAGGAATAAATATGGGGACAAAGGATCCCCTGCCGCAACCCCCTAGTTGGTGTTACACCTCCACTATGAACACCATTAATTAAGATGTTATACTGGACAGTGGTAACACACTGCATTAACAAATTAATCCACCGGTCCTCAAAACCCATTACCTCCAACATCTGTCTCAGGAACTGCCATTCCATCCTATCATACGCCTTGGCCATATCCAATTTCAACGCTGCCCACCCCTTCCTTCCACACTGTTTTCTATTCAAGTAATGCCCCACCTCCGCCGCTATCAAAATATTATCAGTAATAAGTCTCCCAGGGATAAAAGCACTTTGGGCCTCAGATATGAGGCTCCCCATGAGCGGTTTCATCCTGTTGGCTATTACCTTTGCCATGATCCTGTACAGAACATTACTCAGAGCTATTGGCCTCATATCAGCTACTGTCTCAGGCACATCTTTCTTCGGGATTAAGACCACATTAGTATCATTCAATCCTTCAGGCAACGAGCCTGAGTTCAACCAATTCACAATAAAATTAGACACATCTCCCCCCACAACATCCCAAAATTCTTGGTAAAATCCAAGATTCATACCATCCGGTCCTGGTGCTTTGTCAGGGAACATTGCAAATAAAGCACACTTGACCTCTTCTAATTCAAACTGGCGGAGAAGCTTAGTGTTCTGCTCACTAGTCACACGGGGGGCAAAATTATCAAACATGGGATCCTCACACGCAGTGTTTGATGATGTAAAAATAGCAGCATAATATTCTAAGACAATTTTCTTCATATTATCTCCCTCCACCCATGCACCCATATCATCTTTTAATCTAGGAATATAATTTTTCCTTCTACGAGCAGAAGCGTACCTGTGATAGAACTTGGTATTGCAGTCCGCACCGCGGAGCCAGTGCTGCTTCGCCCGCTGCCTCCAAAACACATCCTCCTGCATCTCCAACTGTACTAGTCTCTCCTCAATCTCGCGAAATTCAGCCAATGCAGCCGAATCTTGTCTGTGCCGTATCTCATCCTGCTCTTTCCTCAATTGCTTGATGCGGTCTCCAAACTTATGCCAATGCTCCCCACCCCACCGCATTAGCCTTCCCCCACAATGCTGCTGACAATCCAACAGCCCCTTATCCCTACCATCCTGCCAGGCTGTCTCCACCACCCTCCGACAACCGTCATCATGAATCCATGCCATCTCAAAGCGGAATCGTTTCGGTCCCCCATATCTGCGGCCACGCACTACATCAGTGTTTAAAAAGAGAGCGGAGTGATCAGACTTTCGGGTTAGAATATTTTCGACCCACGCCTCAGTATTCAGTGTAGTCCATCGTGTAGACACCAACACCTTATCCAACCTTTCCTCCATCCATCTATCAGTCCCTTTCCCCTTCTCCCATGTAAACTGGTGACCCCGCATTGGCAATTGAACCAGCCCACAATTGTAAACAGTATCCCCAAACCCTCTCAACAGACTATCCGGGTGAGGATTCCCGCCTCTCTTCTCATGTTGGTATAATAAATCATTGAAATCCCCCAACGCCACCCATGGCAGTGTAGACTTATCCCTTAACCCACTTAATAATTGCCACGCCTCCCTGCGTCTATGTCTCTGTGGAAATCCATAGAAGCATGTCATCCGCCATACTTTTTCCTTAACAGCCACCTCCACATCCACATAATTCTTCGAATAACTTAACAGTCTAGCAGTATTATTCTTTCGCCATAATAATGCTAATCCACCTCCTCCCCTAACTGGATCCACATAAAACAGACCCTCAAAACCAATTTTAACTCGCAATCTTTCTGCATGACTCCGATCTACCTTTGTTTCCATTAAGTAGACGAAATCGGGCTTCTTACGGGACACCATGTCCACCACCTCACCAACTGTCTGTGGATTGCCCAAGCCACGACAGTTCCAGCTTATTGTACTCATTGAGATGGGCGGGCCTGACCAACAGGACCCGCCGTAAATCCGTTTTTTGAGAGCTCAGACATCACTACATCTCCTGCATCCATCCTTATACCACCACCACCCATCTCGTCCCCCCTCCTTCTCTTAACCGCCGCAACCACCACACCCTCACCCGCCCCCTCACCCGCAACCCCAACCCGTGCACCCCCTTCACTCACACCATCCCCAAAGCCGTAACCCCCACATTCCCCTCCCTTCTCAACCCATCTTTCTCCTTCCCGTCCAATGATCTCAACCACGGGTCCCCCACCTGCCTAGGCCCCTGGCTACCACCCCCCGCCTTCAGGTCCGCCGTATATGGAAATTTATCCGCAGTGAGCCCCGATTTCCTTGCCAGCTTACAGAACTTATATGCATGCCCCAGTAAACCACAGTAAAAGCAAAAATTATGTAAACGTTCGTAACGGAAGTTTACCCAGCAGCTTGACTTATCCCGTTTAATTAGCTTCATTCTTCGTTTTAGCGGCTTTTCCACCGGGATTGACACACGGACCCGGTGAAACGTCTTCCATGGTGCCCCCGGGTAACGATCATCAACTTTTACAAACGTACCAATAAAATTGGCCGCTTGTTCAAGAACCGCTTCCGATGTATATCCCAGCGGCAAGTCATAAAGCTGCACCCACATATCCACCGACTTCAACTCAACCGCAGCCGGCCTTGCACCCGGTTCCACCTGTTTACAAACTAGGGTGCTGTTTTCAAACGACCACGGTCCTTCATCAAGGACCCTCTGCATATCCGTTTCATCATAAAAGATGAACATAAACAATCCCGGTTGAATTTCTGTAACATGCATACCCCACACTGGTTGCCAAACCGAGGCCATCACTTGCCGCATATACTCCAACTTGACCACCTTCGTTGTCAAAAATCTGCCCACACACACCCACCGTTGTTCTTCCTCCTCCGCCACCACCCCGACACCCTCCCCCACCGGCTCAAAGCCGATTTCCTCCTCCTCCTCAATCACAATATCGGCCCAACGCTGCGTTAGACGCTCAATAATCCCATCCGCCCGGTCGAGGATCGGTGGTTCCTCGTCAGCCCCATGCCCTGCCGGTGTCGTTGCCGTAAATTCCATTCGTCCGTCACACACTGCTTCTGCCGTATACCGGTACTGTCGGACGTAAACCAGCAGTAATAAACGGTCGCGATGTCTCTGTTGTAGCCCGTCGGTTGTCGAATGTGTATCAGTAGTAAGAATCGATCGCGATTAGACATGACCACGGTTCCGGTTTCGGTCCGGTTCCGGTTCGGAACCGGCGGTTCCGGTTCCGTATTTGGTCGAACCGGAACCGGAACCTTATATTAAGGTTCCGGTTCCGGTTCCGGAACCGCCGGTTCTAACCGGTATTTTTTTTTTTTTTTTTTTTTTTTTTTTTTTTTTTTTGTAAATTGTAAGTTTTTAAGTATTGTTAGGCCTTGAGTTTGAGTAAATTTTTTTTTTTTTTTAAAGATGACAGTTGTAACTTGTAAGTTTAAGTGGAATAAAATGTTTAACTTTGCTATGTTTTAATACAAAGACCTTATGAGAATAGCGACCAGAGAGCATTGAAACTAATAAAGGCAATTCTTAGGCCATTAATGATTAGGATAACAAAGGAAACAAAAGACAATAAATTTTTCATTGTCATTTGTTTCCTTTATTTTTCTAAACATTAATAGACTAAGAATTACCTTTATCAGTTTCAATACTCTCTGGTCACTACTCCTATAAGGTCTTTATATTAATTTATTCATAGCAAAATTAAGTAATTTATTTCACTTAAACTAAAAAAAAAAATTAATAATTTTAAAAATGCAAAATTTAATAATTTTGCTTTTTTTTTTTTATTTTTTCGGTTTGGAACCGGAACCGTCCGGTTCCGAACCGGAACCGGCGGTTCCGGTTCCAATATTATAGGAACCTTAACCGGGATAGCACAGTGACGGTTCCGGTTACGGTTCCGGTTTGAACCGGAACCGTGGTCACCCCTAATCGCGATTCGATCAAGAAGAGCAAGAAAAACGTCGGAAACGCTAAGAAAACCCTAGCAAAGAGGCAAAACCCTAGAGAGAATTTCTAGAGAGAGAAGTCGATTTTTCTTAGGTCAATTTTAATTTTTGAAATAAGAGGATTTTATTTATATATATATATATATATATATATATATATATATATATATAGATTGTACAGAAATATTTTAGTCCAATTTAACAAACCTTAAAATTTATAAATAAAATATGTAAATTTATAATTTTACACCAAAAAAATTAATTTAATAGTAATATTTATGAATTATTAAAAATTAAAACATATATATACACGTGTAATTCGGTTAACCAAATTGCTCTCCCGGAAATTGTGGCCTGTGGGTTCGAGCTTAGTAAAAAAAAAAAAAATATCTAATTAAATTTACACTTAATGAAATAAAAATTCTTGACTTCAATAAAAGTCACGGCCTCAACTTAAAACTGGCTTACAGAACATCACCTAAGTGGAATTTAACTTTGGATACATCTATTTAGCAAGGCGAATTGATAAAGACATCATTTGTCTATATTTATACATATATATGTATAATTATGTATATTGTGTGATGATGACATTGTATATTTTGATGTTTTCTGATATCTGTTTGACTGGTTCTTCTTCCTGACAGAGTTCATCCATGGCAGGCTTTGGAAATCAAGCAAACGCTTTGTTCAGAAAAAACCTCACTTATCAAGTACATCACTGATACCCAATTTTTATTACTTTTCTCTTATTCTCAATGATTTTACAGTGCAGATATCAGTTTTAATTGTTAGGGTTTTATTGCTTTCCTGGTAATCCATCAAATGTATAGTAGGAGTGACATGGGTCATTGGACCTAGAATTATCTTGTCATAATTTGAAAAGTTCACAATCTTGATGAGATTGAGAATTTCTTGCTTGTGTGTGAGAGAGAGAGAATCTTGGTAGTGATCAGAAGTACAAGGTGATATCTATCACCTGAGCTAACTAGTCAGCTCTAACCTATTATTTAAATCTAAGATTATAATTTTTCTGGGAAAGGAAATGATAGTTTCAAATCTAGGGAAGTTTTAAATTTGAGGGTTCATGACTTCTAAATATTGTGAATTAATTTTCAACCTATTTCAGAAGCGACGATTGAGGTCACATTTGAAGGCCTTCTTCTTCCCTGTTGTCCTCTTTATATTGCTTCTTGTTTTGCAAATCATCACCAAGAGGATCAAACGCGATAAGATTTCTGCAATAATCCCTAATGAGTTTCCTCCATTGTTGCAAGTTCCTTCTCCCCAGTTTCGAGCTGTGAGGGATGGCTCTATTCCATTTCCAGATTTGCCCGATGCTTCGTGCCGGGAAACTGGTTCATGTCCAGCAACTGTACTTATCACCGGAAACAACATAACTCTAGGAGAAAGTACACATTCTCGTATTTCTTGGATTACAATTATAGAGAAGAATTGTATTGTGAAATCACAACTTTTTTTGTTTTTTTCCTATTTCTTCTGACATTAAGCATTGAATTTTGGTAGGCCTGGCTGGAAAAATGTTTACAGATTCTTTCAATCTGAATTCCTCCATTGATAAAGATAGTATTGCTAGCGGCACTTTTGTAAGTTTTCTTTTGTTTACTTTTTGATTTCGTGTTTCTTTATGGCTTCCAGTTTGATGTTCTCATGTTTTGACTTCAAATTTTGGGCTGTATTTCTGGTGGTAGTACTATTAGTCTCATGATTTTTGTTCTTTCTTTCTGCTCTATGATTTGAAAAATATTCCAGGGGACCAACTATAGCTTCTCCACCCATGGTGAAGACATTATTCCTTTTCGAATGCCAATCTATAATATACAATCAAAATGCACAAATTTGTCCTCTATTTCAGTCCCGGTGAACTCATTTGACGATGTGAAAGGTATTTCAGAATACATCTGACTTCAGGCCTAAGTTTAATTTGATCTGTTTGTTGCTCTATTTTCTTTGGAATGGATGTACTGTTGCCATCTCTCTGGGATTCTATCTCAATGAAATAACATATCTTTACACTTATGTCTATCATAGATTTAGAAGTCCTTTGTGTTCGAGGACAACATGTTTGGCGCAAAAGCTATTCAGAGATTAACGATGAGCTTTCCAAAGGGTACAAAGATGGGAATACAGAGGGGAGTATAAATGAGATAATGGCTGGTGAGTTCCACGGGCATGTACTTTCGTTCTGGACATACATATTTGGATATGAGTACAGTTTTTTTATTATTGTGCTTCCAACACAGCTTACGACTTCCTGGATACAAGTGAAAAGAATTTCAATATCCACATAGCGTACAATTCCACTTATGCTGGCATGGATCATAGTGATGTTAATGAATTGCGGGTATCACGTTCTGAGAATATGGTATGCTTTATGAGATCCCTAATTTCTGTGCTTCTTTATCCACTCACAAATTCTTGAAGAATCAAGATTGCGTTCCCAATTTCTCTTTGCATTTTTAAAAACAACCATTTTTTATTTAATATGTTTAGTTATTGCTATTGGTTTTACATACAATTTGGTCTACTTCAATTCTATGATTTTAATGCAAATGTGTGAGTGACTTGGTATCCTTTCCTCGCTTCATTTGAGAATCATTTCACTCATGCAGGCTTCAAATGCCTACCTCCAATTTTTACGAGGCCCCTCCATGGAGGTGATTTTACAGTCGGTGGGAGAAATGCCCACACCTGGTGGACTTTCAAGGCCAGATGATGTGGCATCATCGACGATTGGCTCGATCTTTTTTACTTGGGTCATTCTGCAATTATTCCCGGTAAATGTCTGGCTTTGTTTGCATTGAATGCTTATGTTGTATATCTCTGTGAAGTTCTTCTCCAGCAGTCTTTATTTTCTGAATCTGTATAGCTGCGCTGATGATTTTTTTTTTTTTTTTTTTAATTTTATTTTTTATTTTTTTTTCTATTTAACTTAATATTCATTCATGAATTTTCAAGTTAGCCAATATCCAATGTTGTCCTTGATTTCTTATTTTTCTCTCTTTTTCAAAATTTTCCAGGTTGTATTATCAGCTCTAGTTTATGAGAAGCAACAAAACTTGCGAATAATGATGAAAATGCATGGTCTTGGAGACGCTCCTTATTGGGTGAATATGTACCTGTATTTCTTCACCGTATGTTTAGTCTACATGTTCTGCTTTGTTTTGGTCGGTTCATTGACAGGTAATAACCGAGCAAGTGAACTAGATTGTTTCCCATCTATGCATCGATCTAAATATGCTCCAACGCATTTGATTGCTTTGCAGGGTTGATAATCTTTAGATTGAATTCTTATGCTGTCCAATTCCTCTTTTACTTCATCTTTACAAACTTGCAAATATCAATGGCCTTTCTGTTTGCTGCATTCTTCAAAAGTCTAAAGGCTGCTACAGGTAATGTTTGTACAAAACTGGCTGCAATTTTTGGGTAATATTTCACTGGAAAAAGGGTCAAATAGGCCCTCCAACTTTACATGAAAGTGCAATTAGACCCTTGAACTTATGAACGGTACGATTAAACATTCTAACTTATTAAAATCGGTCAAATAAGTCCAATTACCGTTGGTTACCTGTAAGCACGCTGTTGACTGCCGTTCACAAAAAATAAGGATTGGACTGTTCGCCTTCTTCCGATCGACGAAGAAGGAGACCAGTCTGGTTGCCTTCTTCTTCAGATAGAAGGCTTCGATTGAAGGCGACCATACGTGGTTGCCTTCTCCGGTTGCCTTTTCTTCAAAGAAGGCGACCAGTGATCGTTCGTTGGTCGCTGGTTGTCGGTTTTTCTCCCGGAGCACCGTCGGAACCCTAACGACATGCTATTATAGGTCACTAACCGGCTATTGGGCCCAGATGCGCCAAAATGACAAGTTGAAGTGTTTAATTGCACTTTTCAACAATTTACAGGCTTAATTGCATTTTCGTGTAAAGTTAGAGGATCTATTTGATCTTTTTCCCTATTTCACATGGATTTTGATTGTAACTGTAAATGTTGCATGCAGTGGTTGCTTATATAATTGTCTTTGGAACTGGCATCCTGGCTACTCTTGTTTTCCAGCCCTTGATCGACGATCCTTCCTTTCCTCGTAAGTATCAACCATCAACTGTCTCTTAAACTGCTACAAACAGAGTGAGAGATTTTCATTTTTTATGATAAGTTAAGTTCATAGGCTGAGGTCGATGGCAGTGGTAACAAATTTTCGAAAATGGGTATCACAAATTGGGTGAATTGAGTGAAAATGTGTGTGCAAGAGTTTTAGGTAGAGGCGGCCATAAGTTGGGTTGAGTCTTCCCTTAGGGAGGACTTCACTCGAACCACTTGTCCTATGGTTTGGGTTGGTCTCGGGTAAGTTTGCGATTGATGAAAAATTGAGAGTGACATAGTAGGGATGGTTTGGGTTGGGCACGGGTCAATTTCGGATTGATGAACAGTGGCCGGGTGTCCCTTCCGGCTAGTGCTCCACTGCGATCAGTGCCCCCGTCATCGTCCAGCCCAATCCTCGCCTATATCATATTGCATTGTGAACTTGGTAAAAAAATTATGTGTCTGTAAACAAATTAAAGACACATAACATGGTAATTACAGACACATGATAACTATAGATACATAAATTGTTATTGCAGATCTGCAGTTAACATATTATGTACGAGTTAACAATTTATGTGTATGTAGTTATCATGTTACGTGTCTGTACGGTTATTGAAGTGATCAGAAAAATACTTCCAATTTCTGTTTTCCAAGTGATCATTGCAATTCAATATGCATTTAGTGCATAATGTAGCTCTTGTTGCAACTTTCACTGAATTTGGGTTCTTATAGTGCATCTGTTAAATGTTGTTCCCAGAACGTAATTTGCAGTATCTATTTAGTGAAGTATATTTGTAGTAATACTTGTCACAAACAACAAATAACAGAGGTTTTTCTTTATTATAGGAAGTTGGATTATAGTTATTGAACTATACCCTGGATTCTCTCTGTATAGAGGGTTGTATGAGCTCTCCAAATATGCAGAAGGTGGACATAAAGTTGGGACTTTTGGGATGCTCTGGGAATATCTAAGTTATAGCACAAATGGAATGCGGGAGGTTCTGATTATCACAACCACGGAATGGTTGGTGTTTCTAGTCATTGCGTACTACCTAGATCAAGTCATATCATCTGGAAGTGGCACCGCTAGAAGTCCGCTATTTTGTCTGCGAAGATCTCCAAAGAAGCTTTTATCGTCGGTTCAGAAACCGCCTCAGAACAATGAATCTGCTATACAAATGGAAAATGATGATGTGGCACAGGAGGTAACTCGTAATGCTTTTGTTAAATATATGAGTTTGTATTATGGAAGTTATAGGGGGGTGTTTGGTAAATAGCTGTTAGCTGATTGAGTTAGTGGGTTTGACTAGTTGATAGCATTAGCTGATTGTAGAAAGATGGGAATATTAGCTGTTAGCTGGTAGCTGATAGCTGATTACACAGACTTTTTCAAAAAGCTAATCGAAAAAGCTGCTTTTTGAATTTTTGTGTTTTGGAGCAATAAGTTATTACAAAAAGCTAATTAATCAAACACTCATATTGGTTCTTTAACCAAGTCAAACAGCTAATAGTAGTCAAACAAGCCAAAATTGACTGATAGGCTAACTATTTTACCAAACAGGGCCTATAGTAAATCCAATATATGCTGGCTAATAGGAAAAGATTCATATGATTACATTGATATGATTGGCAGGCTGTTTCTGCTTCCCCTTAGTTTGTTTTTAGCAACATTGGTAAAATATTCTTTACACAATTGTGTTTTTCGTGTTCCTTTGATCTGGTTTCAAAGCATCATATCTTTTCATTTTTTGGTGAAATATTCCAAAAGAAGAGATCGATCATTTTTAACCGTAAACTTCATTGCTTTCCAGAGGAGGAAGGTTGAGCAATTGCTAAGTGAAAAGAATCCAAATTATACCACCATCTGCTATAACCTCAAAAAGGTGTATCCAGGAAAGGACGGGAATCCTGAAAAGTTTGCGGTAAAAGGATTAACTCTAGCATTAAAACGAGGGGAATGTTTTGGTATGCTCGGTCCAAACGGTGCAGGCAAAACTACTTTTATTAGTATGGTTAGTAACGATATGAAGCAGGACAGTACAACTTGTGTATTATATATAGTTTCTATTTTGTTATTCATGGTTGTTATCCAAACTAGTTTCTTCGTAATAATTTGGTTTTAATTGATAGATGACTGGACTCTTGAATCCAAGCTCTGGGACAGCATATGTCGAGGGTCTTGATTTGCGAAGTCAAATGGGGCAAATATATCAGAGCATGGGTATTTGTCCCCAAGACAGGTACATATATATTATCATCTTTGGACCGCTCAATATTTGAACTCACACCATTTTATTCATTTCTTGAATGATTATATAGCTTGTTATGGGGTAACCTAACTGGAAGGGAGCACTTACTTTTCTATGGTAGACTCAAAAATCTCAAAGGGGCTGCCTTAATCCAGGTGAGTGAGTCTAACCCTTCACGAGAAAATCATATATATATATATATATAGTCTGCAATTTTAAGCACCGATATGAATATATGATCCAGTTTCATCACAACAGGCAGTGGAAGAATCTCTCAAAAACTTTAACCTGTTCCACGGAGGAGTTGCTGATAGACTTGCGGGGAAATATAGTGGAGGCATGAGGCGAAGACTCAGTGTAGCGATTGCTTTGATCGGTGATCCCAAGGTATAATACAATTCTGAGCTTCTCAACTTGTACATGTTTTGAGGTTTTGCCACTTGGAGAAGCTAAGCTAGCTGATTATATCGCATACAAATCTTGAAAATTTTTGAAGATTGTCTATCTGGATGAGCCCAGCACTGGCCTTGATCCAGCTTCAAGAAAACTGTTGTGGGATGTTGTTAAGCGTGCAAAACAAGATAGATCCATCCTTCTCACCAGTATACCACTTCTCTCTGTTTTAATATACATAATGTTCTTAGCATTCCTAGCGTTTTCATTTTAAGAGTTAATACTAGCTGGGGTCCTCCGAGTATAGTGGCACTGCCACATTTAGTCCTAAACTTTCAGTTTAATCACTCGTGGTCCTTCAACTTTCAAATTTTTAAGCATCCCTGGTCCTAACTTTGCCCTTACTTAAACTAACGGAAGGACCACAACTGGTTAAATTTGAAAGTTAGTTAAAGGACCACTGGTGGTTAAGTTGAAAGTTTAGGACTAAACGTGGCGGTGCCACTAGATTCGGACCCTAGCTGGTATTAATTTTTTTTTTTTTTAAATAAAACTCATTTTGTATTGAGCCTGTAGGCATTTGAACTGAACAAATTGAATCCATTCTTGTCTTTAATAAGCTTTTCCATGCAAGAAAGCAGAGGATTATTACATAGTTTATAGTCTTACTAATCTAACTAAGCAAGTTTTACCATGGTTCAGCACATTCCATGGAAGAGGCAGAATATCTTTGCGACCGCATAGGAATCTTTGTGGATGGGAACTTCCAGTGTCTCGGAAGCATAGACGAGGTAAATAACACCATTCAATTATTCATCTCGTTTTGTCTGATCATATATAAACAACCTGCATTATCGCCCTGCTCGATCTATGAAACAGCTGAAGGTTAGATATGGAGGATCGTACATGTTCACAGTAACTACAACGACATCTGAACAAGACGAAATGGAAGTGCAAAACTTGGTTAAACATCTATCTGGGAACGCGAAGAAGACGTATCAGTTGAGTGGGACACAAAAATTCGAGCTGCCAAAGAATGAGGTTAAAATCTCGGATGTTTTCCAGACAGTGAAGCTTGCAAAGCAGAGGTGTAATGTACTGTCTTGGGGTTTAGCTGACACAACATTGGAGGATGTTTTCATCAAGGTGGCTACTCAGCCTCAACCATCAACAATAACTGCTACATCATAGGGGTAATCCCGGCCAGCCAAGATGGCTAAGGATACAAATTAAACTTGTAACCACAAGGTCGTAAGTTTGAATTCCAGTCCTCTTGGTTTGAGTCGGTTACCTATACTGGTTTGTCTCATTGTAATCTTTTGCCAACTAGAGTCATAAGACAGAGTTTGCACTTATTCCGTGCACACATTCAATTCGGATATAATGACTGCAGATTTCCCTCTATTATGCCGTATTGTCTACAAAGAAAAGTCATGCAATACTTAACTTTTTGTCATTAATATTTGCAAAATATTGTCAATATGGAAATACATATAAATTATTAAAATAATAGCTTATACGGTAGTATATATAATCATTTAAAAATTAAAAAGGAAAAAAGGGAGCGATAAGAGTAAATTAAAAATCTTATGGTCAATTCAAGTGTAATGGTTAATTTCACATAATTTTTTTTGGAAAAAATGTCAAATTGGTCCCCTAAGTTGACCGGATAGTGCAATTGGGTCCCTTAATTAAAAAAAGTTTCATTTAGACCCCCTAAACCTGTAAAATTCTTCAATTAAGTCTAAGTTTAACAAGTTAAGCCATTAAATGGTTGACACGTGTCTTTTTAAAATATTTTTTTTTTGTTTTTTTAATAAATTTTATTTATTAAAATATATATTATATAAAATAAAAAAAAAAAAACCACCGGCTGTGGCTGCCTAGCATCGGAGTCTGCGTCGTCGCTTGCAGGGAGGAGGAGCTCTTGTGCGCCGTCAATCCAACAGATCGAGCTAGCTGCGTAGTCAATCCACCGCCTGAAGTGTTGTTGCAGTGCTTGCTGCCTTGCCGTTGGAAGCTCAAAACTCAGTTGTTGGCTTCGTCGCAGATCCAGACGGGAGTGAGAGACAGGCAGCCTTCCCCTCTTAAAGCAAGAAAAGAAATAACTTAAAGCAAAGACGCCATTTATGCATCTGAAGCAATAGTAATTTAAAGAAAAGGCAAATCGGAGGCATGAGCGATGATACGAAGAAGGCAAGCAAGGTTCTTCAATTCTCGCCGTTTCAGAGCTTGGTAGATGTGGGTTTCTGGCACAGATTCTTTTCGCTCAAAATTCCATTTTTTTCTTTTTTGTTTATGCTTTTTAATTGTAAAATTTAATGGACAATTTAGAACTGAATGAAAATTTTCCAATTATTGTGAGATAAAATTATGCCCTAGTGTATAATCCATAGCATTTACTCCTAAAGAACAACTATGGAACTAAAATTGAGTTCACTCATTTTTTGAGAGCTAAAGGTTATACTCACTTTGTGTGATTTAGTCTTCATGATCTGTTGGATTGACGGCGCACAGGAGCTCCTCCTCCTTGCGGCCGACGATGCAGACTTCGGTGCTAGGCAGCCACAATCGGTGGCTGTTTATATATATATATATATATATATATATATATATATATATATATATATATATATATATATAGGCTTCGAATCCGGTGCACCCCCTCTAATAGATGAGACCATGAGGCCTCCTAATATCCATTGATTCAATTTTCATCCATGGTTGAAATTATAAGAGATTAGGGTGGTAATTAAGGACATTTTTCAATGTAAAGGATATATTAGTAATTGAATTCTAATTTATTTATGGACATAATATTATTGGAATCTGTAGCATTAAATTAGGGAGTTTGTGGATGGAAATTAATACTTTGAATTACTACAAAGGCGGATGAGGTGAACTTGGCGTGAACAAGGCTTTGAGGAGAAAACGAACGGGTAAGTGCATTTACGTGCCATCGTCTGTGCATACGCTGAATATTGGAGTTTTTTCTGCTGGGATGGTGGGAGGGGGGTGGGGGTTGGTGGACGAACTAGAATATCTGTTATGTGCGTTAGAGGTGGCCACGGGCCGGTTCAAGGTCGAACCAACCCTGAATCGACCCGGAAAAAGGTGGGCCTGGGCCGGGCTTAGCTCGAATCTGAACCGAGTTATTAAGGGCCGGTTCAAGTCCCTTAAAAAAAAAATTCGGGGCCCGACACGGAACCGGCCCAGAGCCCACGCCCAGGCACGGCCCAGGCCCCTAACCGGCACAGGCCCGGCCCAGGCCCGGGCCTAGGACCGGGAAAACGGAACCATGGCAGATTGGCAGCAAAGCATGGCAGCTTTGCTGCCAATCTCCCATGGCTAATGCCAATTGCCTAATGGCTAATGCTATAAAAAAAAAAAATTAAACTATTTGTGGCAGCTGCCCAAAGTTACATTTAGATTAGCTAGCTACTTTAGCTAGCTGCAACGTGCAACGGCCAAATATTTGGCTGTTGCACGTTGCATCACATCAATTCTCGCCGGAGGCCAGGCCTAGCCTGGCCTCCGGCAGACTACTTCCTCAGTGCAACGGCCAAATTTTTGGGCGTTGCACTGGATGAAGTTTTTTTTTTTTTTTTTTTAATTATTATTTTTAAATTAATAAACTCTATAAATACCCTTACTCAATTCATTTTTATCACACCAAAATTCTCAATCCTACACTCTCTTACTTCTACTCACAACAATTCTCCATATATTCTCTTAATCTTTATAAATTTTATTACTCTTATTATTTATTTTTCAGTCTTTAATTTCTTCCAACCTCTCAAATTTCAATACTTCAAATTTTCAATTTCAATTTATATATTTTTAATTTCTTATAATATCCTATATTTTTAATTCTTATAATCTTATATTAGTCCTACATTTTTGTGTGTTCAAAATAAAATATTAGTCTTATATTTTTTTGTTAAAAAAAAATATTTGTCCTATATTTTTAATTCTTATACTCCTAATATCATATGGCTTATAGTGGCAATCCCGGTAAGAGGCCAATTGATTTTTCTAATGTAGGAGGAGATTCACAACAAATTAATCAACATCAATTTGTTTCTACTCAAGGTGACGGCAATCTTCCTCCTATTCCTCCAACGGAAGGGGGGAAGAAACAAACATTATGGGTTTGGCAACAGTATGAAAAAACACTCATTGAAGGATCCTCCAATCGATATACAGTAAGTTGTAAAATATGTGCAAATATGAAGAGGAGTCAAAAACCATTTTCTTGGCAATCCGGATCAAGTGGCACCGGAACTCTTAGTAAGCACTTGACTTCTTGCCAAAATTTGAGAAATGATGAAGGACAACTCGAGAGAGGACAAACACAAATTTCCGGGTATGCTACCCCCGGCGGAGGTATTTTTACTTATTCACGAGAAACAATGATTGATGAATTTGGTAGATTTATAATTAGGTGATGAATTACCTTTTAGTCAATCCGAAAGTCCTCATTTTGAAAGATTTGTTAAAAAAACTTTACAACCACAATATAAAAAAGTACCAAGAAATACTTTAAAACGTGCTATCTATAAAAGTTTTCATATGTCAAAAGTTATGTTAATTAATTATTTTGCAAATTTTAATGGTCGTGTTGCATTAACTAGTGATACTTGGACAACTCCTCAAGGTGAACCATATATTTGTGTTACTTGTCATTGGATAGATAATAATTGGATACTCCAAAAAAGAATTATCGGTTTTGAATTAATGGAAGAATCTCATACTGCTTTTAATTTAAAAGAACGAATAATAAATGTTTTGGATGAGTTTGAATTAAGAAATAAAGTTTTTTCAATTTCTTTAGATAATGCTTCTTCTAATACTAGATCTATAGATTATTTACTTCAAAGCTTATCTTTACCTGTTAGTGGTAAATTATTGCATATTAGATGTTGTGCTCATGTTTTAAATTTATGTGTTCAAGAAGGACTAAATAGCTTGAGTGGTTTAGTTGAACCGATTAGAAAATGTGTTAAATGGCTTAGATACAATAGAAACAAAAAAAAAAATGAATTTAAAGTATTGTGTGAACAACATGGTCTAGATAAAAGACATTTTAGTTTGGATCACCTACTAGATGGAATTCTACATATAAATTGTTATGTGAAACTGCTCCATATCATGAGGTAATAACTATTTTGTATAATAGTAATCAAAGTAGTGATGCTTGCGTAATTACAGCTCAACATTGGGAAGTAGCTAGTAATGTTTGTGCAATTCTTCAATCATTTGATAGTGCTACAAAATCATTTTCTTTAGTTTATGAGCCTAACGTTCATTTAGTTGTAACTGAATGCATTACAATTGTTAGTACTCTTACTTCTTTTATTGTAGATCATATTTTGTCTGATTTAGTTAAAAATATGATAAATAAATTTGTATCATATTTTAGTGATATTCCTTATATCTATGGTTTAGCTGCTATTCTTGATCCAAATGTGGGTTTAAATGGATTAAATAGTTTATTAGATTTTTATTATAACTCTTTGAATTTTCCAAACTATGTTGAACGTGTTCAAACGTATATTAATGATTGTTCGTATTTGTTAAAAACTTTATATGAAGAATATTATTCGATTTATGCACCACAATCTGTTGATCCCGTTGTTGTCCGTAAGAGTAAGTGGCATAATCCTATTGTTTCAACAATATTAAAAAAATCAAAGGGTAGTGGTAGTGGTAGTGGTAATTCTTCTGAAATAGATACATATTTGTCTTGAAATTTTGAAATAAATGATGATTTTCATATACTAACATTTTGGAAAGGAAACGAAACAAAATTTCCTATTTTGTCAAAAATTGCAAAGGATATTTTTGCATGTCTTGCTTCAACAGTTGCATCCGAGTCTGCTTTTAGTGCCGGCAAGAGAGTATTAGACGATAAAAGATCAAGTTTGGCACCGGATTCCATCAAAATTTGTGTCATGAAGAAGGATTGGGACGCTGCCGAAGAACGCACTCAAGATCAACTTGCACTAATGGAAGAAGATGAAATAGATGAATGGTTGGCCATGAATACATCATGTGAAGCCACGCCTAATGCTAGTTCTCGTGCAACCTCCGCCGGTTCTTCCGATCAAGAATGAAAATGAGCTAATCAAATGAGGTACGTACCAAAAACTACGAGGGCTTTGATTCCTCTAAATTATTGAGGATACGTAGGCATCTTAATTTTTTACAATATTAAGAGCAAGCCCAATTATTTTTCTAAATGATTATAAAAATAAAGAACTACGTGGGTTTTGATTCCTCTAAATTATTGAGGATACGTAGGCATCTTAATGTTTCTCAATATTAAGAGCAAACCCAATTTAGAAGTCTTTCATTAATTTTTGATATTAAGTGAGTAAAAAATCAAATGAAATTTATAAACTATAATACATTTTATAATACTTATAAGTTATCAAATAATATTA